TCGCGCGTCTAATCAATTTTCGTTAGTTTATGTTCGTTGATTGGTATGTTGCGAAGTACGAAAAACGTTGAAACAGCGTTTGAGTATACTCGATAACGTCATTCACAAAGGAATGATATCTAACGAGAGCTACTTAGATAATACGCGACATATCATCAGTTAATTACATAAAGCAACTAAATATAAACTCATCTGCTATCGCTTTTGATTATGCGATTATAATTTTTTCGGCTTTAACGATGTTAGACGAATATTATCAACATTACACGTTCGCGAACAACATAGGTTCCTACATAGAACCGCTTTTAAAGCGTGTTGTACACTCCAAAAGAATCGGTAAGACCTTTGCTTAACATCGATGATCAAGGATGCGTCTAGATACATTCGCTGTCAGTATTAAAAATCTATAATACACGTAACACAAGCGATAGATTTTCAGTACTACTACTGAATACCGGAATCTCTGTCTAATATATTTTATTAGCATCTAATGAATCTCGAAACACGACTTTCATTTCTGATGTTTTATATGTTATTTGTGTGATGTGTTATTAAGGCATTGCTTATGGTGGAGTAAAAGTGAATATGGGACCGACAAGTTGCAATAGACCCAAGAACGATTGTTACAAGTTGATGATTCCTTATGCATGCGAAAATCTTTTGTGGACTGTATTATTCGATTCGCAGTATCCTGAGATAGGCCCGGATTTTATATTCAACGATCAGAATTTTTTAATGGATCCAGACATTGACATTTTATCTACCAAGGTACCAAGCCTTGTCAAATGGGATCCAACAGACAGTGATGCATTACTCAATGTTTTGATTGAATTGTTATTGTATTACAAAGAAATTCAGGTATGTAAGAACCTTTATTATATGATTATTATTAAACTACGTAACTCTATGGAAATAATTTTAATTCTTTAACATGTTTTTAACATTTGAAGAACAGCAATTATATTCTATATAATTAAAAAATTTCCTATATATTCGAATAAGTACAGAATAATTTTTTTATTTTTAGATAGAGTCCCTCGCACAACAGAGTGATCGATTGCATTTTGAATATAGCACGCTTGTTGGAGGAGCAGAATTACCCAGGAATGATATAGAAGTGATATTGTTACCGCTGGGAGGAAAACCAACAGAAGCAAGATTTTTAATTCGCATATCAATGGATTGTTGTTTACCTCCATGTGTTGATAAGTTACATGACAATGAAGCCATGCTCCGTGTCACTTTTTATGGACCAAATTGGAATCGTATTGTACCAAAACTCTGTTTGTCCAAAACACTGGAAAAAACTTTAGGCGGACCTGATACGTTGCATCTTCCACAATTTCCACCTACTAAATATTTAATGGATTATGTTCCAGAAGTAAAAAAGTACATTGAGGAAAAGGTATGGTGCAATATTATATAGTATGTTCAAAAAGACCCGGGCTGATTTCTGAAATGTCTCATTCTCGAGATATTTTGATAGTCTGAGACTTTTCAAACACCCTATATACATGCATATGTTTGTGTGCGTGCAAACATGTTATATGTATTTCTTCAATTTTCAATTATAAATATCCTAAGGCTCTCAGTTCCTCGCTGCAACTGTCCTTCGATGACATCAGAAGCGGGAAAACGCGTGCCAAGAATTACGTTATGTGTTCAAATAAAAAAATATGCTCACAAAGTAATAATTAAATATTTTAAAATATAATATATACTACGCTAACTATATTAATCAACTAGCGTTTTGGTGCTTACAAAAAAAAATTTTACACAATTTTAGATTAGAACATTCATAGATTGTCATTTACACATGTATTATTTGTACACTCTCTGTTACAGATAAACGCCGTGGTCGAGTGCTTCGAGAACAGAAGAGATTTTATCGCGACTGTGTTAATGATACAAGGCAGTAGCGTAATAGAGTACGACACGAAGGAATTTAATAACATGACTATTATGCTGGAATCCCGAGACTTCCATTTTCTAGTGCATTTCCACCTTTCTGCAAAATTTCCGAAAGAGCAGCCGCAAATTACATTGCAATCGGTGTATCATATGACGCCAGAAGGAGTTTTGTACGAAGAGGTACTGGATAACGTGCCATATAGCCCTAGATGGACGATGAATCATATGGTTGAAATGTTCTTCACGCACATCATGGAAGAAGCGGTTCACAAATTTCAGAAAAGCTCTGTCAAAAGTCATCGTTATTGATTATTTCTATTCCAAAAGTATATATTTTTATTACAGAATGTATATTTAATAGTTGATCAAAATAAAGATTATATTTGGTTCCAATAATTAATAAATGATAATACGATTGCACTTGTCTCTTATCGCTTTTCCTCATTAAAAAGTTCATATTTGTATGTAATTTTCGAGACATTTTCGAGACTAGATTAGAGAGACTCATTACTTTTTTAAATTAATTGATAAATAATAATCATTGACGAAATTAAATTAGCTCCATACTTGGGTTTGCCGAAGAGAGAAAGGAAAAGAATATAAGGCCATTAAGTTGGCAAACGGATGATTTTTAATGCTATATGAAATATTAATATTGCTATGTTTGGGGAGGGGAAGTAAACGTATGAAAAATATTACTGGAATTCAAAGATCAGTCTGTTTGTGGGAGGCTTTTCGCCTTCGTTGGCTTCGTGCCAACATAATTGGTTTAAATTTAAGGATCTAACAATAAAGACTAATAATCACTGACCGCTTTTTACGCAGCGCACTTTGTCAACATCAATCTTTTGTAACTTGTTAAGTGATAATTAAAAATGTAAAAATAATTTCGACTTGCGTCAACAAAAATGGACCGGATAATATTCGAATGACAACAATTTCAAATCTATTGGATTAATTGGAAAGTGATGGAAAAAAATACGTTCGTCCGATGATTACGCATAGCCGGAAATCGCCGATACGAATTTAAATCGCGCGCGCTCGCCATGATGGCCGACAGCGACACGACGATAATTTCCGGCAACGCACGTTCGATAGCAAACCGTAATGGCCGTATTCACTTGGAGGACGATTCGTGGTTCGTGAACATATACTACTGGCAAAAAGTCTCGCGGTAACGATTCATCATCCTTAGTTAATTATCCGAAGTGATCCGTGTGTAACGCGTTTACGTTCGCTTGCATGACAATCGTTGTCATTTGTACGTCGGTGTATCGCAGTTGCTACGTTCCGTCCTCGTCGTCGGCTCACGGACAACCATCATTGCGAATGTACAATGGCCGATGTGGAAGGAAAAAAATTGACCGAGCTTCGGGTTATAGACCTCAAGACCGAATTGGAACGTCGTGGTTTGGATAAGGTCGGCAATAAATCCGTACTCTTGGATCGACTTTCAAAGGTTAGTCGTTTATCTCTTTTCTTTCGACAGGCTCTTTCCCGAAATTCACTATTCACTCTCGCCGAGGCCGACAGTATTTGTCGCCATGTTAACCCTATTGATTTAACGCGTGACGATATTCCGTATTGTATCGCAGATATTTGTTGGTATCTGAAAAATAATGCAATAACTTCAGAGATAGTGAATAATGAAATGCGAAGTAACAAGTTTGCGCGGGGTATCGTTCTAATTACTTTAAGTATGTTGAATTTCGCGTCAACTTGATACTGTATTTTTCACAAGCAATATTTCTCGATGATATAAATTATTCATAAATATCATTGTTTAAGCACAAGATGTCATTAAAATTAGGTTTTATGGTGAAAATATCAATGTATGAATATTTAATTCATTCATTCGGACATTCTTGTTTTGGTTTTTGAAAGTAAATATCTAATATCTTTCAATGTGAACACGCGCACATACACACACACATATTGAATATATACAGATATATATTTTATATTTAAATATTGACATTAAAAAAGCAAAACAGCAAAAATGTTCAGAATTAAATATCTAGGCATTGATATTTTTATCTTATTTATTTATATATTTATATCTTATTTTTATTTATTTATATACTTGTATTTGCTGATCAAAATAGCAATCACTATTAATACATTCTAATATATTCTATTTATATATTCTATGCTGAGTAGATCACAGATGGTCCATGCTGAATTTTCTGTTCAGGGTCAATCCACATAGTACAACACAGATTGCTTGATTATTTTTTTAAAAACTTCTTTTCTTGTCGATTATTGTTCTCATGTCAGTAGTTCAAAACTATCAATATTTTATTTTTATTTGCTTCTTTTAAAAATGACGGCCATCTGAAAACATGATGGACAGTAATTTTCACATTTACACAAGTGCAAGTTTCACAGAACTAGAAAATATTCAGTGGTAGATTATATTTTTGTATTTTGATTAAAACACACACACAATTGTTGTGCTTGTAAGTTAAAAACTTAATAGTGCAATTATTTATAGGCAATATTGGAGGAAGGAGGTAATCCCGAAGAATGCCTTATTATACCATCTGGTGGTACATGTAAAACCAATTTAAGAAAAAATGATGGTATATATGCACTTTTCATATATATATATATAGTTTATAAAATGTTTTCTACATACAGGGTCTTCCATTAAGAGGTTTCATTTTGAGTTTCGCGGCATTTTGTACCTGTTATAGATGGAGTTGTCATATTTGACAGTTGTCGAGTAAAAACTGTGCGGTTAGTAACAATGGATCGATGTTCGCTTGAACGACACATAGAAATAGTGAAAACGTACTACAAACACGATGAAAATTTCGCGGAGACAGTTCGCAAAATCCGTACCAGTTTCGGTCGCAGAGAAGCATCTTCTCATCCAGCAATTGTAAATTCAATCGATAAATTTGAACGTCTCGGCCAGGTTAGCGATATTAAGAACCCAACCCATGCTCGGCCAGTCAGATCAATCGAAAACGTTGTTGCTGTGGCTGAAAGTGTCGCGGAAAATCCTGGTTTGTCTATTGCGAGACGTTCGCAGCAATTGGGCATTTCACAAACTAGTCTGCAAAGATCTTGGCCTACATGTCTACAAAATCCAACTGATGCAAAAGTTGAAGCCGACAGACCATGGACAACGCCTTACGTTCGTTGATCGGGTATTGGAAATGCCAGCGGTTGACTGATTTTTTCAAGAAAATCATTTTGAGTAATGAAGCCCATTTCCACCTTCAAGACTATGTCAATAAGCAAAACTGCCGCATTTGTGGCACCGAAAACTCAAGAGCGATTGACTCGCGGTATCATCGTATTTTTTCGAAAATGAAGATGGTTGTATGGTCACAGTCAATGGATTACGTTACCGAGAAATGCTGACAGACTTTCTTTAGCCTGAAATTGAAGAACTGGACCTAGATTTTCAGCAGGATGTGGCTACGTTCCACACAAGCTATGAAACGATCGCATCATTATGTGAGAAGTTCCCTGGACGTATCATTTCGCGTAACGAAGACTTCAATTGGCCGCCCAGATCGTGCGATAACACGATTTAATATCCCTGGATTTTTTCCTTTGGGGTTATGTGAAGGATAAGATTTACACAAATGCTTCGCAAACGATTCAAACACTCAAAGACAATATTCGAACTGTTATTGGCGAAATTGAGCCGCAATTGTGCGAAAACGTGATGGAAAATTTCCTAAAAAAAATGACCATTTGTAAGAAGAGTCAAGGCGACCATTTGGATGATATTGTGTTCCACGTTTAATCGCACGATCTGTACTTTCTATAAATATATCTCAACGTTTTCAAAAACTTATTCCTTTTTCTATTAATTTAAAAAGGAACCTCTTAATGGAAGACCCCGTATTAAGGAAGTACAGGCGTTTGACCAAATATAAAATAAACCTGTAATATATATGTAATACAAAAGTTAATCAAACTGATAATGTGTGATAGAAATTTCAGTACCATATCGTTTCCGTAATATTTAATTATAAACTTATATGTGCAAGCTTATAGAAATTTTGCTTGATAAATGTAAATTTGTGGAAGGCTTCCTTGATGTGCCACTGGAAGTACAGCACTTAATGAGCAGACTTCCTTAACCATTAAACATTAACATTGTAGGCAAATTATGATAGGTTAAATTGGATAAATTGGGAAAAAAGGTTTTAAAACTTTCAAATTTGCTTATACTTATAGGTGCTTTAAACCAAGAAGAATCCGCCGAAAGCTTGGAGAAGAACAAGGAAGAAAAAGTTGATGGGCAAGATAACACAGATAAATCTAAAGGAGAAACAAAGGTTGTGGCGGAAGAAAGTAGTGAGATATCTAAGAAAGAGGTAAACCACACACTGATATAATGTTAAATATTTTGATGATGTATTTTACAATCTCTATCATATTAAAAATATATCTTATTTTCATCTTGTTTTTCTCAGGAATCGCAATCTGAAGTCAAAAACAATTCTACTAAAGAGGAAATTGTTAAGCAAGATACTAAGATGCAGGTAACCAAAGCTACAAGCGAGAATATACAGAATAATGACAAGAAGAATGATTCGGAGAAAATAAATGCCTCGAATCAATTTTCGAACGCAACATCCACAATCGTTGAAGCTAACGGAATTGACAATGAGGATTCTATTAATCTGACCATCGGAGAAGATGAGGAAAATCTCCTGGTTGAGGAGGTATGAAACGCGCGAGAGGGTTGACCGAAATTTACATTCAGAATTATATTATTAAACTTCTAAATTTGTTGTATATTTCTAATATGAACTATTTCCCCTGCAACCTCTGCTTCTAAGCGTTAAGATTACACATTTGTCGTGGAAAATTCTCCACTATCGTCTGAAAAACATGGAAAAGTCAGGGAATTTCAAGATTCATTTTTCTGTGGCAACCCTGAAAAACTTGAGCAAGAAGAACGTTGTTAATGTTTTGTCACTGTTAATGTTAAACTATTACAATTTTATGTTATTTTTATACTTAATAGTTAATTGAGAATGATTCTCTTGGCATATTCTCGAGACAAAGGATCCTAACGAACCTCTTTTCTCTCATTGCAGACGGAATCTCATGATCGTCATAAGGGTAAGTTTTTAAGCAACATTTATTTTTTCGTAACTTAGGGATAAGGCTTCATTAAGGCATTAGGAATAGCGATAGCTATTTTGTAACTACGAATTCGGAGTAAGTTAATGAAAACACCAGCATCAAGAGAGTAAGCATGTTCAAGTTCGAACGTCCAAGCACGCGCAACCATCTCGAACGAAGGGCGTGACGTCGGCAATCGTCGTCGCAATGCCGCGACCAACGGTTCTCTGTGTCTCTCTCTCTCTCTCTCTCTCTCTATCGTTCTACGTTCCGGCCCGCAAGTCATCCTCTCATCGTCGTGAACGTCGTCGCAACGTCTAGATGCTACATAGCCAGCCACGTAGACGCGTGGTGTTGTGATGATTGCGTTAAAGTGCGCACGGCGGCAACCGATAAGGTTTACGACTGGGATAAACTGATCGATGAACGGGTTCAAGCAGGACGCAAACACACCTCTTCTGACATCTCTGCTAATTGCCAGCCCGTGTTACATTAAAAAAAAGTCGACAAACCATATCCTATAAGCGTCTAGTCTTTAAGTTAGTTAACGCTAGAATTTGATATAAAATTACTACTAATCATACCTACCGCATAGAGCATCGCTGGATTCTCTTTATCGCCAAGTCACACGGACAGACTCAAGAGGACTCAAGTGTGAACACCGAAAGCTGCAAATATTTATTGCAAAAAAACCAAACCATACAGATCAGCAGCACTACGACCGTGTTGACGTTTACCTCAACGCGTGCGACACGAAAAAAAAAAGTACCAGTAAACCTTCGGAACCTCGTGCCTTGGACTCTTCACTTAGTGCCCAATTTAGCGAGCGAAATTCACTGTCGCGTGATAGCCGTGATACGTCGCACACACACATACATTTGACCAGAATTTCTCGTTCGCGCGCGCGCGTGGAGTTATATAGTATTACAAGAGTCGCTTTATTGGCAATGGAGCGATCTGCGGATTCTCGTCGAAAAGCGATGAACACACACGCGCGCTCGTGCGTCCTCGCTGCGCGCGCTCTACGATGCCCCGCACGTCCTCCTTTCTAGTTTCTCTCCCTCTTGGCTCAGCCTATTTGATCGGAGTTTCGCGCATATACGGAAGGTACGAAGGTAGCTTTGCGCGCGTGTACCAAAAAAAAAAGTATAGAGCGACCGAAAATGAAAAAAAAAAAAGAAAGGTTTTGGTTCCCTACCGGGACCGTACCATGTGTCGAAGAGTGTGTCTGTGTACGCGCGCTTGTGTAAGTCGTGTGCAGGCCCGCATTACGCTCGCTGTACGAATTTCTTAGATGACTTGGGCGAAATTCCAGACTGGAAGTACAAGTCCGCTAAACAGGAGTTTTAGGGAGGGAGAAGAGCTTCTGGCTTCGCAGAAAGTGACTATGCTACCTTGATTGTCTCTGCAGATGGTGGAGAGAAGAAGAAAATGGAAGAGAACAACAGCAAGAAGGGAGACTCGAAAGGAAGCGGTAGTAGAGCGGAAGCTGGCGCCAGTGGCAAGGAAGGGACTTCTGCGTCTGGTGCGAACGTCGGGATGAAGAGCAAGCAGGACGGTGGAGATGGAAGCAAGAGGTTGGTCTCTCATAGAGCATAAGAAACGGTTCTTGCAGTACGTTGTGTGATAATACAGCGAACTGGATATGGTCGCACGAGAGCTCCGCTATGTGATGTTCTTCTACATGCTGCATACCGTGCCGTCGGGATCTCTCTCTCTCAGACTCTCTGTAGCCGTCGGACAAATGGATTTCCAAGATGAGAGAAGTCGCTCGTCACACGCAAGATTGTTTTGTTCCCTTTTTTTCTTTTTGAAAAAAAATCGATATATATATATACATATATATATATCTCTCAGACAGTTCTCTTCCACTCCGTGTGTTTTAGGCTGTAATTCTTAACTCTGAGAAGTATGTTAAGAAGTCGAGAAATTGGCTAGCAAACTTACGATTCTCGAGTGTCGTGTTTGCAATTTCCACCCACAAATATACATATACACACATACACAACACATACACAACACGCACAAGAATATATATATATATATATATATTTTTATATATATTTGGTAAAGGTGATCGATACTCTACCGAAAGAGTATAAACACACGCATATAAGCTGACGAGTTCTCCCGTGTGCTGTGTTCCCCTATATAGGACGAGGACATTTGTTTCCAAATAAAAGACAGCAGTTTCGTCGTGTGCATCGTGTTACGCGCAAGGACATTAGTATCTCACGGTCTCAAATCTTGCATTTGGCAGAGCGTAACTTAAATCCTCGTATGTCAAGAAGCGATCTTTAATTACTTGCACTTGAATGAAGATACTGCTCTACCCTCTTACTACTTCCCCTCAAAAAAAAAAAAAAACACGCAAACGCGTATGCGTTTAAAAAAACCTATCCCAGCTATGAGGAGAAGTGCCCTCTCAGAAGAACGATGCAGCCGATGCCCCCTTCGTGGATACATAGAGCGATAAAGTGCGAATCTTACCGCATGGACACGATTTTCTTACGAGGCGAAGTGAAACGAAAAAGGGATATGAGCCGAACTCAGTGAATCACACGTCCAGTAATCTAAGTAAAAAAAAAAGAAACTGATAACGCGTCAATGGTGATACGAGTGCAAAGAGAGAGCCTATAGAAAATATCTTAAGTCCGTTACCGCCTAAAAATAAGTTGCTAGCCAAATCTAATGTGCTTAACATAGTTACAGAGGTACTTATTAAGCCTCATAGATTATACGATCCTTTATAATTCGTTACTTTGAATTGTAATCCGACGTAATTTAGGATTCCCACGCTCTTACTGCAATAATAATATCATTCTTTTCAGCGTGGACGCTAACAACAAAAACCAAAAACGAGAAGAAAGAGGTAAGCCCGTGTTTCCCTTTCCGCGTTATTACCACATCGGCGACTCGATCTTACGGTTTCGCAAATCTCCCGTAGTACACGCCACCATACACTTCGTGGAGAAGAAGATACCGACCAATACGATTAACGCGAGCAGCCGCAATCTTTGGGTCTCGGGTTTATCGTCCAGCACTCGTGCCACTGATTTGAAGCAGATATTCTCGAAATATGGCAAGGTCATTGGCGCAAAGGTGGTCACCAACGCGAAAACTCCGGGAGCGAGATGCTACGGATATGTGACAATGTCCACGAGCGAGGACGCGACCAAGTGTATACAGCATTTGCACAGAACAGAGCTTCACGGACGTGTCATATCCGTCGAGAAGGTGAGGTCTCGACCCACTTCTTCGTATATCTGTAACACCGTCACACGGCGCAAAGTTGCGATTAATTCTCATCATAAACTTTGTCTGCAGGCAAAGGGAGATACTCAGCAGAGTCATGTGCGTAAACGAGACACCGTCAATGGCAAGTCGGACAAGAAGGAGGAGAAGGAGAAGCCGAAGGATCATGATGCGAACGAGAGGAAGGAGAAGGACATAAAGAAGGAAACGGAAGAGAAAGGATCGGATGCTGGTAAGTATTACTTTTGTGATAACAATCGAAAACGCGCCAACAGAGGCAAGTAAGAAAGGTGCGACTTCCGGCTGGGGTGATGAGTTTTTACAGCGTCAGTTTTAATTGAACACGCTCCCATTGATGCGTCCTTAACTACCGATTGAACACCTACGAGTTTTGCGAATGTTTCTGTTTCTCATTTATTTACAGGCTTTATATACTGCGATATCTTATCGTAATCCGATCCCCTTTTATATCCCTCTCGCTATCTATAAATCAGGAACAATTGCGTTTGTTTAGTGAAGAAATCCGACGATAAGAACGAGAGCGCCGAGTCGAAGAAATTGGAAGCGCAAGACAAGAAGGAAGATCCAAACAAAGAGTCCGATTCGCGATCGACGAAATCTACCAGCAAGAAACCGGAGAGTGAGAGAAGTAGACGAGAAGAGAAACGAATTCGCACGTGGGACAGAGACCACCGGTCTCACAGCCGGTCCAGGAGTCGCGAGAGACGGAGGCGCGATGACGTTCTCACATTCGCAAAGATAAGGGTAAAACGTCTTTTGACAAATTTTGATAAACCGAATAAGCGGCGCAGCTGAGAAGCGGAGAAGAATTGAGCGGGAAAATAACGCGCGAAACGTCTGGTCTAAATTCTTAGGAAGAACGCGAGCGGCAGAGGCTGCGCGAGAGGGAACGGATGTTACGGGAAGAGGAGCGCCGAAGAAGGGAGGATATTGAGCGCCAGCGTGAAATAGAGCGTAGACAGCGGGAGGAGGCGGTGCGATTGGAGAGAGAACGGGAGAAATTGAGGCGCGAGCGTGAGCGGATCGAGCAAGAGAAGGCCGAGTTGCTGCGGCTCGAGCGAGAACGGCAGAAGCTCGAGCGGGAGAAGCTCGAGCGCGAGAGGATGGAGCTGAAGAGGCAGCAGATGCGCTTGGAGGAGAGCAGACGCGCGCCGCCGCCGCCGTCCATAAAGAGAACGTCCAGCGACAGGAGAGATCCCCGGGATTTGTACGTGGAGTCGGAGAGAAAACGAATCACGACGGAGCACAGTCGTAGGCACAGCCCGGACCGGGTGTCCGACAGGCGAAATGAGATGCTGGATCGCGTGACGGACAGACGATTGGACCCCTCGCCGCCACCTTCGCGATACGAGTCTAACAGGTGATTGGCCCCCCGTCTTTACTCTTCGTTCGATTCAGGCCAGATTGAAAACATTCCCTTGTGTCTCGTAGACCTCTGCATTATTACTCGTTATTTTGAACACGTTTCACGTAAGATACTCAGATTTGAATTTAGAGAGAATTTATCATTACATTTGAGTTCCCTTTTTTCTTTTTATTTGAATCACAATATATGAGACATTGCGTTTTTGTAAACGCGATTCAGCTGAAAAACTCGCATCTATCCTGGCGGGTAAATTCCAAATCTGAGTATCTCACCTTCTTCAAGTGTCATCAACGTTTAGTAGAGGTTACAACTCCGCGTTATCGTGCGATGCTAACATGAACGGATATACTCTTCAGATCTGCTCAGGATCTGGGAATGAAGAAAGAATTCAAACGAAGCAGCGAGTTCTCGTCGAGAAGTAGCCGGCCGGATAGCTTCTCCGACGTGTCTCGTGGTAGGGAGGTCATCGTACGCCGGGAAAGCCTGTCCACCACATCCTCGTCCATCGATCCGCGGCAGGTAAAAGAAAGGTGCGTATCGGTGAAGTCCCTCCAAATGTACATTTTGAGAGACTACACAGTCTGTCCTACAAGAGCGTATATATCATATCCGCAAGTGTTATGGGAATTAAAAAAAAAAGGTAAATATCACTTTTTTTAATATATTCAACGCTTATTTTGTTATTACTTAATATTATCGTCCTCCAGTCTCCATTGTTATTTAACTTCCATTGTCATTTAACTTTCGATTAATTTTCGAGCATAGTTGAGGAAAAGCGATATCTCCATATTTGCCGGATTTGATAACATAATTACTCGTGGGACTGACTGTATTTAGAGAGAGGCGCATTTATAGATCGGACGCTCGCCCTTTCGTTAATTTCTAATTCTTGATTTTCGATTCTCTCATGCAGATACGAACGTCCAAGCACTACGACCTACACTCGTGAGCGCGAAGTGCGACGTTCCGATCCCGAGACGCATAGAAGTTCCAGGGACAGCCACACACGATACAACGAAAGCTTCAAGCCCCCGGGCTCCAGTACGCCACGTAAGTATAGCAAAACGTACACGTACGAGAAATGCTTCTACCGGGAAATACTAAAAGCACGTTATACATAAAACCTTGTCGTAATTCCCAGCCTTACTGTTACGCTGAATGTCTCGCTGAATCGTCTCAATGATTTACGTACGTTTCTTTTTGTGTATAGGAGCAGAAACGTAGTACTAAATAAGCTTATAATCGTAATCGAGAAATCTTTTGATAAATATCTCTGAGAGACACGAGAAGCGCACACGATTCGACATTGTAGCAAGATACATATGATTCTGTTTTCGTTGATATTTTTTTTATTTGAAATTCTCGGGATATGTGTTAGTAATGTGCAGTTAAAATTACAATTTATATTTTACGCGTAATCTTCTTTTATTTGTCCGTGCGTCCGATAATTTTCAAAAATGAAATCTAACTTTGTTAACACACGCGACAATTCGAAAGTCTGAAAGCGTGGATTTTGTTATACGTATGGGATACGAACAGTTGATATCATAAAATTCGGTTATACATATACACGCAATAGGTAGTAACGAAGTTAACTCTTTTCATAGTCATCATATCTTACAAGTGATCCGAATAATGTTTTTATCATAAAACAATAATAATTCCATTATATGGTTGTATATCCAGGTGTACAAACATATTGTGTATACAATAAGATAAAAACGAGAGAGGTATTTTATTTCTGTCAAGATTTCAAATGCCAAACATACTTTCAAAGAAAATAGAAACGAAATATTTTATGGGAATTTAGTTGCACTGTTAAATGATACAAAAAGGAACATGGAGGAATAATGTAGAATGATACTCTTTGTTTATTTTAATATTTCGCAAATTGGTGTTAATCATACAGAGAAGGACTATATTTTTTATAAAATACCTGCTTGCGTAATTTTTGTGTGATGATACATACATGAATAATACGTACACACTCAAAAGCTACAAGTTACAAGATTATAATATGCAGATGCTACAACTCATACTATTTTTCTT